ATTTTTTGTATTTTCAAAGAATGACAGTTGATCAGAATAACAAAGATTTTCACTTGTTTTGATTGAAAGTCAGTGTTATTCTGCCAAATAATGATTTTGTATCTCATCTGAAGTTAATAATGGAATTGTTTAAAAATCTTTATTTTTTTCTTTGTTGCATTGTTTCTTTTTTTGGTCTTTCCTTCCTTAATTTATTTATTTTTTGTGTTAACAGAACACTGTGTTTTTATGTTCTGACTATGGACATTAGTGGCTTTTCTTTACCTGAATATTCTTCAGACTATGTTTGTGTTCAACAGAAGAAATTCACGAAACGAAAATCCAGAGTAAAATTTGACTTTTGGGTGAACTATCCCTAATATCAAAGGCATTCTGATTGGGTCAAACTTTGGTTAGAAGGACGTAGACGTTAATTTCTGTTCCTTTCATGATGTGATTTTGAGCATAATCTGGCAAGACTTTACATTACTCCGTGGGACCCAATTGGACTAGATTGGCAAAAAAAAAACCATAAATTAGCCGTGATGAGTCCATCTGATTTTCCTAGAGATTAGAGATGGGTTGCGGCTGGAAGGGCATCCGCTGCGTAAAACCGTGCTGGATTAGTTGGCGGTTTATTCCGCTGTGGCGACCCCAGATTAATAAAGGGACTAAGCCGAAAAGAAAATGAATAAATGAATGAATGAATAAATAAATGAGTCCATCTAATTGGTTCGAACTTTGGCTGCATGAGGATGCAGACGTGAATTTCGGTTTCTTCCATGATATGAGGATGAGCATAATCTAGCAAGACTTTACGATACTCAGTGAGACTCAATTGGACTAAATCAGCAAAAAAAACCTATTTAGCCCTATGAGTCCATCTGATTGGTTCAAACTTTGACTTTGGCCTCCACTGTGTTTTATGTTCTAAATACTGGCATTAGGGGCTTTTTTTACCAGAATATTCTTCAGAATATATTTATTTGTGTTCAACAGAAGTAAGAAATTTACAAAACGAAAATGGAAAGTAAAATTAGACTTTTGGGTGAACTATCCTTTTAATTCAAATGAAGGAAATTTCAAAGGCATTCTGATTGGTTGAAACTTTGGCTTGGAGGATGTAGACATGAATTTCTGTTCCTTTCATGATGTGATGATGAGCATAATCTGGCAAGACCTTACGATTCTCAGAGGGACCCAATTGGACTAAATCAGCAAAAATAAGTCCATCTGATTGGATTCAACTTTTTCAAACTATTTTAAAACAGTCATTGACCGCCACAGTTTTTTTTTTTTTGACTATAGATGTTTGTTTTGTACCCCATATATCCCTCAGAATGTATTCATTTGTGTTCAACAGAAGTAAGATAAAATCTGGGTGAACTATTCCTTTAATTTAAATGCAGGAACTTTCAAAGGCCTTCTGACCGGTTGAAACGTTGGCTAGGAGGATGTAGTTTCTGTAATAGTAATTTCTGTCCCTTCCATAATGCAATGATGAGCATAACCTGATACTGGGTGGGACTCGATTAGACCAATTCGTGGCAAAAACACTCATAACTTAGCTGTGATGAGTAGTGGAGTTGTTGCGCTGGGGTAATCTAAAGCATCAGCTGTCCTCCAGACTAGATTACCACTCATGTCTGACGCAAAGAATTCCAGGGACGATCCAACTGATGCTACAGCCGATGCTACAGGAGATTTATTACTTTCCAGGCTCCATCCCTACCTCTGACAAACACAGACACACACACACAGAGGCAGACAGACAGAGAGCCACTGACCATGTACAAATTATTTTTAGCTTAAAGAGCTGGCAAAGAAAAGCATAATCCAAGGAGTGACATCTGGCCTAGTAGCTTATGGGATTAACATAGGGCCCTTGCTCCTAATAGCAATAGCGGATGTTCCTCATTGCTTGCTCCATCAACAAATTGCCTGGGAAGTTCTATTAAATTATAAAATGTATATTATCTCATGTGAAGATACTGTGGTAAATAAATGTTGCATTTGGTCTGTATAAATTCAACATAGTGTGTGCTGTTTTGGTTTGTATGGGATAGATTATGAACACTGCATATGTTAGGATTTATATGGATTGTGAATGCATATGCTGTGTAGATTGTACAGTCAGCATCTTTTGAGTGTGTAATCGACTTTTAAAACCCCAAGAATTCCTGCACTGGAAAGCCGAAGCCAGATTGAAATCATTCAACGACACTGTCAAATCTAAGTAAACGAAAGCAGAGAATCAGGAAGGTCATTTTTAAATTGTTACTATCAAGACAATGATGAAGTGTTCATGTAAGTTTCCTCTATGTTTTCCTGTCTTGGCAATTGTGTTGCGTCAAGGAATTCCTGAAACTAAATGAGATTCATTATCTGTTTGTAAGATGAGCCCACAAAGGAAAAGCGGTTCGTCTTATACAGTAGATGTTCGTTTGTGTGGAAAACATCATAAGAGATCCATTGTATATCCTTTGCAGGGATGATATATTCCGGTCAGGCTGTCATAATGTCATCACAAACCTTTTTTACCGTTTTTCCATGGAACATTCAACGTTTTTATGGTGACAGTTTATGGTTATCCCAAACGTGGGTTAAAAAGGTCAGAAAGAATCATAAAAGTATTTCAGCTATAAGGGTTTTAAAGCCCTAGGGACAACATTTTTAAAGCTTTTACTGAAAACATGAGAATTTGACATCACTTACTCATCATTATGTTATTTATTATTATTATTATTATTATTTAGGCCTAGCTCTGAAACAATCATGCAAACTAGGTGCTGCTCAGAAATGGCTATCTTTGCTCAGCATCAGGGGAATAGCAGCAAGAAGTTTGGCGGCGAACAATGACATTATTCTAATGACAAATGTCTAATAACACTGCGAATTCACGTAATTTTATGCATATTCAATGTGTAATGTGAAGGACGCTGACAAAGGAGTGCGGATCCAAATGAAGGTTTAATACAGGAGAATGGTCTGGCAAGCAACGGTCAACACAGGGGCAATTAGATGTATACAGACAAATCCAGCATTGTGGTCATACAACAGGAGGATGGTCAAAAGGCAGGAAGCAGACCGGAGTAAACAATAAAACAAGGCAAGGGTCTTACATGACAAGGCAATGAAAACGAGTTATAATGTCACAAAAACAGATAACAAGACTCAGCACTGATGTGTGCGTGTGTGCTTTGTGTATAGTCCATGTAAATGGTTCATATTGGTCATCCGGCTGTGTGTGTGTAATCAATGTTGATCCTAAACAGGTGTGTGTGGTGCATGACAGTATATGTCGACCATGTAATTGCCGATTTGTAGTTCGTTATTGATCTGCAGCCGCTTGATCGCTGATAATCATAACACAATGAAAGTAGGCTAAGCCTGTCTGGTTCAAATGATAGAATATGTAACTTTAGTTTCTCTAATGTTTTAATTTATTTTAATGTAATAATTTATTTAATTTTATTTAAAATAATAATATTAAAATAATTCATTCATTTTTTTGTCGGCTTAGTCCCTTTATCATTTCGGGGTCACCAGAGCGGAATGAAAGGCCAACTCATCCAGCACGTTTTTATGCAGCGGATGCCCTTGCACCTGCAACCCATCTCAGGGAAACATCCACACACACTCATTCATACACACACTCATACATTACGGACAATTTATCCTACCCAATTCCCCTTTACCGCATGTGAATGAACTATGGGGGAAACTGGAGCACCCGGAGGAAACCCACGCAGGGAGAACATGCAAACTCCACACAGAAGCGCCAACTAAGCTGTGAAAATGTCCTTGCTAAACATCATTTGGAATATTTAAAACAGAAGAAAAAATTCAAAGGGTGTTAAATAATTCTGATTTCAACTGTATGACTAGCAGAAAATGGTAAAACACTGTTTGTATATTTGAGCCTCAGAGATACTTTTTCATTCATATTTAAGGCAGATTATGAAATTAAGATGTTCTTTTGAGCGGTTTATTTGCGAGCTGATCTGCATGTGTGGTGAGAATTGCAGCCTTTTTATTTCCTAGTGCACTAATTCAGGCCACTTTGGAGATTCTGTAAATAGTGCATTACAGCACACGCTGAATGTAATCCTCTCCGAACTGTAATCATTATTTTAGCACTACAAACTGTGCTGTTCGTGACGGCTATTTCTGGACTGTTGTTTGCTTCGAGAAGCGTTGTCCTTTCTGAGTTCCCAGAAGCACAAATCCCCCTCAGTTCTGCTTCTGTTGTTTTGTTTTGAGGATCTAATGTTGAGATGTTATTCAGATATTTCAGGTTTAAGTGCTCTCTTGTTGTTTTGTAAATGCCTCTGGAAAAGTGATGTGCATCTCTCTGAGGTTAACGCCGCAATGCATAGCATGCAATTGCATGCATAGGCTGCATTTTTTTTGTGGGGGAAATTGCAATCATTCCTTGAGACTCACGCAAATGACCATGACTTTTGGTGGTCCTTACATGCGTAGTACATTTGTTTTTATAGAAAGTCTGTGGGGACAGTAAAGAATCAATAATTAAAGGATATCAATACATATTCAAATTATACAGGTTAACACAAGCGTATTGAAAATTTTTTGTCAGGAATGTTCTTCTGAAAATATTTTTCATTTAATTTGTCAAGGTTTTACAAAAAAAGCTGGATTTGCGACAGGAGTAGCCACAAACCTTACTGGAAAAATACATGTGCATGTGTGGATTTTCTCACCACGTGGATTCACTTTATGTAGAAATGTTCATAAATATATATGCGTATATATGTGGTGAAATCAGTCCAGGTGCTGCCCTGAAGCTGACTCCTTCAACTTTGGTTTCAAGTCTCAACACTGCTGAGCAATCAAATCAAAAGTGTGCAAGGTATTTGTACAGCGGCTATTTTATAAGTTAGCATCTGGACTCTGACTCTATTAAACTGGCCTGCCATGACCTGTAGGATTTTTATTTAAAGCTTATACTCGAGTTTCAATCCAAGTCTCACATTCCCTCTCCCTCTCTCTTCCTTCAGGTATGGCCTCGCAAGTGCAAGTCTTCTCCCCTCACACTCTCCAGTCAAGTGCCTTCTTTAGCGTGAAGAAACTGAAGGTGGAGCAGAGTTGCAACTGGGATATGACAGGGTACGGCACGCACAGCAAGGTCTACAGTCAGAACAGCAAGCAGAGTGTGTCAGTCGCCCCTGTGGGCATCAACGGCGCCAGTCTCCAGGTTTCCAACTCTTCCCTGTCATACGAACAGGCCCTACTCTTCCCGGCCGGCTCGGGGCACATTGTTGTGGCCTCAGCCAGCAGCACGTCTGGGGCAGCTGGTCAACTGTTGGGCAGCACTGGTAGCAGCGGAAGCGGCAGCGGAGGCCATAACCTGACGCGCCGCAGCACCGTCAGTCTGCTGGACACCTACCAGCGATGCGGGCTTAAGCGCAAAAGTGAGGAACTTGACAACAACAACGGCAGTGGTAGTGGGAGTAGTGTGCATGTGGTTGAGGAGCAGCAGCCGCCGGCACCCATGATCCAGAACAACGTGCAGAGCGGGGCCACCGTCGCGACCGCGACTGCCTCCACCACGGCCACATCCAAGAACAGTGGAGCCAACAGCGAGGGCGACTATCAGCTCCTACAACATGAAGTGCTGTGCTCCATGACCAACACCTACGAGGTGCTGGAGTTCCTGGGTCGAGGGACGTTCGGGCAAGTGGTGAAGTGCTGGAAACGGGGCACCAGTGAGATCGTGGCCATCAAGATCCTGAAGAACCACCCTTCCTATGCGAGGCAGGGCCAGATTGAGGTGAGCATACTGGCACGGCTGAGCACGGAGAGTGCGGACGACTACAACTTTGTTCGAGCGTACGAGTGCTTCCAGCACAAGAACCACACGTGCCTGGTCTTCGAGATGTTGGAGCAGAACCTCTACGACTTCCTCAAACAGAACAAGTTCAGCCCGTTGCCGCTCAAGTACATCCGACCGATCCTGCAGCAGGTCGCCACTGCCCTGATGAAGCTCAAGAGCCTAGGACTGATCCACGCTGACTTGAAGCCTGAGAACATCATGCTTGTAGACCCAGCCCGCCAACCCTACAGGGTCAAGGTGATCGACTTCGGATCTGCTAGTCACGTCTCCAAAGCGGTGTGCTCCACCTACCTGCAATCTAGATACTATAGGTAAGGTGCTGATCTTGTCATCCCTTTATCAGAATCATTGCTTTGTTTTGGTTTCTGAATGGATATTTTGGCTGGATCAAGATTCTTGTGCCTCATAGATATTTACATTAGATGTCACCTACGCTATTGTTGCCTATTGGAAGGATTGCATTAGAGCTGCACAATTAATCGTTAAAAGATCGCGATCTCGATTCGACCCCCTAGAGGATCTTAATCCAGCATTTCTACGATTCGGCCAATCATATTTTTTTTTAAGTTCAGGGGAGAAGCAAAGGCGGCTGCACGAGTCTTTTTATTGTTTCACATACGTTGCTCAGTGACATTGACACCTCCAAATGATGTTGAATGAGTCACATACTGTATTTATAAGGTATCATTCACCTAAAAATGTCATTTTTGTCTTAATATAATGATGTTTTCGCGGCCGGGAAATCACACATGACGTAAGCTGCTGACCGTGACCGCGCGTGCACTCTACTTAATGATGGACGCGCGCACGTCTACTTTAGTGAACAGAACCTGCATATGTTGCGGATAACAGGTAATACAGTTGCAAATAATATTCTGTTTGTGGTACAGAGTGATCGTTTGGGAGCCGCGTGCGAAGTATGAACAAGCACTTAGCAGTCAAAATGAAACCGAAAGTGTGCACTTCATTTAAATGATCATATCGCATTTTAGAGTTATGATTACGGCAAGCATTTGGTATGTTTTTTCTTTCATAGCGAACCCACAGTTGTGCATGAAAATAAATGTTTACAATGTCAGTATAGCCTATAAATTTTTGAATATAATCTGATAATGGCAAATGTCTGATTTTACCAGTGAATAAATTTGTCTAACACGACAGATTGCAAGCATATATCTCAAACATAATAATTCAACATCATAATTATTATAAGTAGAATAGAATTATTTATAAAAACCAGTAGACCACACATAATATTATTATCGATGTTGCCATATGTTTGTTTTTACCATACCTTTATTTTACATCTACAGAATCATGAGAAAATCGTGATCTTTATTTTGAGCAAAAATAATCACGATTCTCATCTCAAAATGCAGCTCTAGAATGCATTAATAGAGCCACCGTTTTAGTACAGGGTAGCGCTCCTTTGAAATGAATGTGGGACCAAGATGCAGTGGAGGACTGGCCATCCAGAGCCATAGATATATGCACATATTTGCATATATCTATGATCGGCAGTTATCCCGGTGGCCAGTATGCAAATATTTTTTTACATTACAAAAATTATAATTTTACATCACTTTTCTATGTCGATGGATACGTGATCGCACAGGCATTCCTGACAAAGAGCGTGTATTTGTGTTCATGGAAATGTATTGTCCTGTTAAATTTGATATAATCTGTGTCCTGAAACACACCTCCTCTCCTGCTTTCACTTCTCGTTCTAACAGAGGGAGTGATTCGTTTGTGATTGAGTCCCCGTTATGAATGGCTTGTTCACTTAGCAGACAATAATACAAGTTTCTGGCACCGCAGCATCTTGTTGTCATATTTCATTTACATTGTTTGCTTATTTTATTCAACAAAACTTGCATAAGCCTAGTATTCAGTGTGAGTTGGTGCTACTTTTCCTTATGGTCAAAGCAGTAAGGGACTGTTTTATCATCAATACTTATTAGCACAAAAGTTTGTAACATACAAAAACGTGAAAAGCAAAATCTTACCTATGTAATGTGATGCCTGTATACTTTGTTTTCTTTGTTTGCTCATCGCTACACGCATATGCAGCGCAAAAGTCCAGCATCTTCACATTGGCTTTAGTCTTGACTAAGTCCGGTTGAATGACATTTGTCCTAGGAATATTGTACAAATGTTGCAGCGCTATTAACGCATGCTCAGGGTTCGTATGCTATATCTAGTGTACAGTATATCTTATGATCATTTCCTATGAACTGCGTTTTTTTGATTTGTATCTCTCTTTTTGAATTAAATATTTTACTTGTAAGCACTAAAAATGGTGTTTCAACTTGTTTTTGTTTCATGTATATGAGTTTATTTTGTTTTGCTAATTTACTTTGGTGTTTAAAGAAAAGTTTTACCATGCAGAACTATTTTTAGTACCTGAAAAAAGGTTTGGAACCACTTGAGGAGAAGTAAATAGTGAGTAGATTTTTATTTTTGCGTGAACTATCCCTTTAAATATTAAAGTGTTATGCATTTGCTGTATTGTTTGTCTACTATGATTTGCCATGAGTATTATGAAATATTCTCTATATCCAGTATGCACTGGCTGCATTTTGTATCTCTCTTTTTACCTTGCGAACTCTACATATGGTGTTGTGACTAGTTTTTGTTTCATAGATATGAGTTTTTTTAGTTTTGCTAATTTACTTTGGTGTTGAAAGAAAAGTTTTAACACGCAGAACTATTTCTCAGTACTTATTTAACAAAGTTTTCATCATGTTTTTATTGCAGTTGAGAATCTGTTTGCTTTTGGCTCTAAAAAGACACTGAGGCTACTTAAACAGAATTAAAGGGATAGTTCACTTTAAACTGAAATTTCTGTCATCATTTATTCAGACCCATACCTGCCTATTGAACAAAAAAAGTTATTTTATAGTGTTATTTTTTCTTACTATTCCTACACACTGGATTTAAACATTTTTCAGAATATCTTCTTTTGTGTTCAATGTAAAAAAAGAGAGTAAGGAGAAGTTAATAGTAGATTTTCATTTTTGCATGAACTATCTCTTTAAGTGTTACAGTGTTATGCATTCGCTGTATTGTTTGTCTACACTACCATGATTTGCCATGAGCATTATGAAATATTTTCTATATCCTACAGCTTTGCCTTCTTTTATCATGCCTTGTAGTGAGGAAGTGCACATATTTTTTTCCCCCTGGTTTTGTTTATGTTAAAATTCCACAGAACTTCCTCAACATGTGTGTTTAGATGGAGTCATAAAATTGAATGGCTTGCTGAGAACCTGCTTCCTTATCTTTTTTAATGTGATAAAACATGTTGTTGAGTTCTCCTTTGAAGATTAAAATAGACCGTTTACTGTGTTTTACAACATGGTGCAGCTTCATGGTGGCAGCAGCACCTGGGAGATATTTGCAGCTGATTTTATTATTTTTTTGCGTTCCTCCTTTGGAGTGCCTAGTATGAAAAGCAATATATTGTACTATTGGAAAAAGAGCCTAAAGAAATGCAGAAGCAAGCTGACTGTAAACAAGGGGGTCTTTTTCATTTTGGTTCACTACCCAATCCAGCGCTCTCATCACTACTTACCATCTCCCTTGGGATGAAGATATGGGGTCACCGTCAGTTCCCCGGCAATACTTCCCTGTAATCCACACCAGAGCGCCAACATTAGAAACAGATGCCTCACTTGAAAGCTGCTTATCCCCCCCCCCCCCCCCCCCCCCCCCAGTCAACTCTTTCATTTACCTGTAGCCGTGTTTGGGTTCTCGGGCCGTTCTGTAAAGAAGTAAACCTGGTTCACACAGAAGCTTGCTCTGTTGGGCAGAAAGCAGGTTAGGTTATGGTTAGTTCTATGACCACACAGCCAGAGAGAAGTCAAACACGGGGGAATGAATGAATGTTGCCAGATGTGTTTATGATTCCATTAATGAATGTGGGCAGATTAACTATCGTTGTTAATTTTGCAAATGCTTTGTAGCTTGTAAAGTTTGAGTTGAAATTGGCCCTTGGTCATGTTTGGGAATCTGCTGAAATGAGTGGACTGATTTTGCTGATATGATTGGTTTGTGCATAGAGAAATAGATGAAAATAGATAAAGACGGTTTCTGGTTCAGTCTCACACAAAATAAGCATTTCATTATTGTTCTATCACATGTTAAAGAACATTTGCTTCCTAATAATCTGCAATAATAATCATTTTTTGCACTAATTGTCTTTATATTCTTAACAAACTGTAGAAAGTTGTTACTATTTGGAAAAAGTACATTCTAATAGAGTGTTTTTGCCCATGAGATATAACTGAGAAGCGTTTGTCAATGTTTTGGACTGTGAATTAAGATGAGTTTATAGCAAAAAGTAATACAGGAGCTGCTATTACTCTGAGCTTTGAGTCCTCTTCCTCCCAGCTGGAACGAATGGGGGAAAAAGCTGACAATGAACAGAGTCACATCATCTGTCAGCCTTGTACATCTGGAGACACTGAGCAAGAGGGAGAGAGAATAGTATATTGGGAGGCCTATTGCTAATGTGCATATTTCGTATTAAGGATTTGTTAAAACTTTGATTCATAACTCATACTGCACCATTTAAATTATACGTAATAACTGCACTAAGAAACTTTTACAGAATGGAAAGTTGGAAAATGTTTTTCGTAGAACCAACAATGCAAAGAACTTTTGTTTTTAAAAGTGTAGCAAACGGAAAAAATATTAAGCTTGTGGCTAGGCTTTTTTTCATATTTTCATTTAGAAACGCTTTTAAAAATCATTACAAAGAGTGACCAAGTCATTAAAATGGTATCACTGATCCGGTATCTGACATGATGACATTATGTTCACATTGCAGTGTTTTCCATTGTTTTTCGGTTTTGCATTTGACATTAACCACATGATTCCTGCAACATACAACTTCTTTTTAGAGAATGCATATTTCAATTAGTTCATTTAATCTTCTTTATTTATCACAGATGTGTATACACTTGTGTTAAGTATAAATTCATTTTAAAATGATATATTCACAATACACTTTGAGAAAAAAGTCTTAATATGCTCTGCTGTGTTGCTTCTAAGCTTATTTTTTATTTTACACATAAACTGATGCATTTTTACTGGAAAAAAATACTTATTAAAAACTAATTAGAAAACTTAGCATAGAAGGAAGGGTTAAACCATATTTCTAGAGACTTTGGATTGGACTCACCCACCCAAGACACCTTAGCAACATATAGCAAACCACTCTTTAGGAACCACATAGTGATGCCCTGGCGGCTGCTAATTGCTCAATATGTTGTATCATTGGTGTAACTTTATACACATTGTTTATGGC